AATGAGATAATAACCAAAATTTATTTCACCCTTGCTCTGTACCGGGAACTTTACATATAACAACACATTAAATCCTCATAACAATGTTAGGAGGCTGCCATAACCCACATTTTATAAATGAGAAAACTGAGGCTCAGTGATGCAAATTTAATTTGCCACGATTCACACTAATAAGTGGGACGCTTGTCTAAACTGTTGCCCAGTTCTTGCTTACAACCACTTGGAAAGACACTTGCATTGGAATAAGTAATTCTTAACATTATTTTTATTCTCTTTAAAAATAAGACAACTGAGAAAAAGATTATTTAACAAGGTTTGCAGGTTTATAAATGACAAACCCAGAGCCATCACCAGCTACTATTCCTTCATTTCCCATTCTTTCCACAACCTTCTCCTGCGTCCCTACATCTGATACCTCCCTATATCTGGTTTAGTTGTGACTCTAAAATTATTTTAATACAATGCATAGTCCACATATATTCATTAGGAAATTTCACATTTTATTTGTGTCTAAATTTATTCATTAAGAAATCTGCAAGTTTCAAAGATGCTGTTGGACTGATTAGAAACTAGTGATTTTTGAATGAAAGGCCTTTTGAGTACACAACTTGAATGAACCAGAAGAGTGCAGCTGTGTTTAGAAAGAGGCTTTATAATAGTCCCAGGCAGAATTTATTAGGTATTCCCTCTTAATGATTTCCATATAGTATTCTCTCAGTTAATATGTTAAAGATCATCTCTGTTGTTGACAAACCTGAGCATTCTTAGATTTATAAAAAATGCTTGTTTGTTAATAAAGCCAACATCTCTGACTCTTCCATTGTGTGCCAATCAGATCCTAAGAAGTTTCCTTAAAGCTTACAGCATGAGGTTGTAGTCCTAAGAGAAGCAAACGGGTGTTTACTGTATTAAATGCCTTTCTCCTCCTGCTACATATCCCAATCTAATAAACACTTAAAAGAACATCCCATGGGAACATACTATAAACTGAGCTGAGCTTTTCAAAAGCTAAAATCGTTTGCCTCTTCATCTTGTTTACCATTTCACAAAATGGGGTTTCTGTTATGTGTCATCCGTGGCATAGGGAGAGGCAATGTTAATTGGCTAATAAAATTCCTATTTGATGAGGTAATTGGTGAAGGACCTGTGGAGGGACTGCTTGCTATTCCCGCTTGCCCTTGGAGGCTTCTGCCTCTTTTTTGGTCCCCAAACAGTGAATTGATATTAATTGAACTGCAATTGCCTGAGGCTGCACATTGGGATTTACTGAAAATTGTTTCAAGTTCAAGGATTAAGATCAGATGGGAGTTTTTGTTAAAAAACAAACATTAGGGAAAGTGCATTACATCATCAGTTAAGAAAAATTTGCTTTATTGCTCATTATTTCCTCGGCACTGTTAACTAGGAAATAAATTCAAATAGCACTTTAACATTTTTATTGCAATGTTCTGCACTTTACAATTCACTATTTTTCTTTTAGTTAATGTTTAGCTTCAAAATTCTATGATCTCTAGTAAAATGGGCTTTAGTTAGCTGTATTAATTTATTTATTTTGAAGACATCTGTTCTTTTAGACAAATGATTGATTTTGTTATTTCTTCTTAAGCTTTTTAATAATATGTGTGATTTGTATATTTAGCATATCTTTCCTTCTCACACTATTGATAATCATTTAAGAGTGGAACCCATGTTTTATTAATCTTTACAGTTTTTGGCTAACACAAGACCATTAACATGTTAAGTATCCAACAAGCGTGTACTGAATTACAAATTTTTTATTAGTATTCTACTCTGAGAGGTTAGAAAGAACTGTTTTGGGTATGATATATGGGATTAGAGAAATTTAAAAATACTTGTGGGAGTTAACATGCTCTTATTATTTGGAGTACAGAAATTCTAACTAGAACAAAACTCAGGAATTTTCCCTTTTTTCTTGCTGATTAAGAACAAAATAAAATTTATATGCATGAGCACACACATCTAAGACACATATATATTGTGTGATTGTACGCATATGGTATATACGTAGAGAGAATAAAAATGTATTAAAATATGAAATATGAAGTGTATCCATGTATGTATATGTATACAGAAAGTATCACCAAACTTGAGTGTGACATTCATCCTATGCATTAATTTTAATCAATAGGAAAGTCTATAAAGTATTTTTACTCCATTTGTGTGTGATGCTTTCAAGGAACTTGACCCTAACCTCTTTAAAGTTTGACTAGCTTCATTTCAAACAAGAGGGGGTTGTTAGTAAATGCTAAATTATTGATATATTTGTAAACACAGCAGTTATTTGAAAATATAATTAGAATAAATTTGTGGTTCTATAGCAAGATTAGAATAGTCTATCATGAAAACCTTTATTAAAGGTTATAAAAATAATTCTGAACTATTCCTCATCTTAGACTTGGTACCTAAGATTTTTTCACGCAACTATTGATGTAAATAAAAATTTTCAGTAATACAGATGATGAGAAATTGAATTGTTTTTAGAGCAGCTTAATGTAAACATTGCATATCTAATGGAAAAAATTTTAACCCATGTAATTCAGTAGAGATAAAACCAGTGACTAAAACACATTTAATATTGAATTAGAACATACTAGTTAAAAATGTGTATTTGAAGGTACAACCTCTAAGGCTGGTCCACTTAAAACAAGTGAGACATGAAATTAATCACTTACCTAAAAGGAAAGGGACATGGCTGAATTTAGTGCTCCAATCAGTGCTAAATGTGATAAATAAAGTTCAAAATCAATTTGGTTGGTGTGTAGGACATGAGCAGAGGTGATAGTATAACTCCTGCAAAGATAAGTTAAAGATAAATGTTAAAGTGAAAGAAAATTTTATGTAAGTAAAGGATTTTTTTTACTTAGTTCATTGGACAATATAAGGTACTAATAATCTTTAAACAGAATGCCATGGGCACAGCTTTATTTTGAAAGAAACTAATGTCATGATAATTAAATGAAAAATGTGAGACTGGACAGATATGAACCACCTACCACTCCAATGAACCACCCCAATGAAGTTATATATACTATTTATTATATATGTATCATTTATAAATATACGTGTTTATGATTTATATTATTATACATATATACGTTTATACATGGTGTTAGTGGGAAAATTGACAAATTAGAATAAGGCCTCTAAATTATATTTTATCAATGCTAACTCCTTATATGGGTACTTTGTCCTACTAGGGTTTTTTTTTTTTCTTGTTGTTTGTTTTTTGTGGGACCCTCGCTGGCGGGCGGGGAACAAGCCGGCGCTGCAGAGGCTGCCGGCAACCTCGCAACCCAGTGTTCAACCGCTGCGCCACCAGGGGAGGCCCCGTTCTACTAGGGTTTTGGATGCCCTTGTTTGGAAATCTTGGATGAATGGTACACAGAAAATTTTTGTAATATTCTTGCAACTTTTTTAAAAGTCTGAATCAAATTAAAAAAAAAAATAAGTTAGTGTCACAAAATAGGTTAAGAGAGAACTAGCTTGTCGACATGAAAATCTGTATTAGCAGCTTTTTAAGAGAAAACCTACTAGGTTTTAAAATTCAATTTTGCAAATCCTTTTCTGGTACTTTCCTCTTGGAAATATACACATATGTTCACAGAGATACTTATTGCAATGCTATTTTGTATTAGAAAATAAAAATAACTAAAATTTCTGTTTTAACACACCTAACTGAAGGTAGTGTCAGCAGATATAGAAAGGAAGGGGTAAGTGTAAAAAAGCAGACTCTATTGGACTTAGGACATAAAAGGATACAGAATTTTAGAAAGGAAGATTTAATATGAGTGACTAGAATAATGACTTTAGCAGAAATAGAAAATAAGAGAACCTATTGATTTGTGAGAAGATAGTTTTTATTTTGGAGACACTGAATTTGAGATACTGATATTTAGGTAGATATATTGCAAGTCCCCTAGCAATACATAATATTTAAGTACACAGATCAAAACTACCATGGAGTTATGTGACTAAATCTTTGAGATAACAATTTTAAAGCAACTGTTAGTGAACACTGATTGTAGTTTTTTGTTATGATTATCTGATGTTCCATTTGTTGCTATATACATCTATAAACTTAACCCTGCAATAGCTATTTATATATATTTGGGTATTAAAATTGAAGAGGCTACAATATTATAGAAGTAACTCATTCACATTATTGTCAACAGATAAATTCCTATATGATGAAACCTGTCTTCCACTTGGTACATTTCACACTTAAACCTCTGTATCTAAATCAAAATTCTCAAGGTGAATGAAATTTACAAGAATAAAGAAACAGATTATAAACAAATAAAATTACTATAAATAAAAAAATTAAATGATTTAAGTCCTGTTCAAAACATCTTAGTCCTACTCTATTCCATTAAAATCTCCTGGCTTGGGGTCCTACCAGGAGAATATCATTTTAAGGCCATGAATATCATTTTAAGTTCATGAATATCATTTTAAGGCCATTCAGATGGCTAAGCTTTTGTAACTAGAGGGTGCAGAAGGACATGGAGGATCAGATCACATCTCGTTTGTTTAAATTTAGTAATGTGTGAAAATATTTTAACAAACTTCAAAAATAGCATTGGATTATACATGGCCACTTGCATAAATAATATTTAAATACATTGATTATTTAACTTGACCATACAAATTCTCAGTTGCAATAAAACTCTATATGAACAGAAATATACTTATTCGGTCTTGTGTTTATAAAATGTGAATTATTGATAGGTCTAATTTCCGCTATGGCTGAAAAAAAAAGGTACATTGGCTGTGATATTATTAGGAAAATGGCATCTAATACACCAGTAAGTGCCTATTTTCTGGTTGGAACAAAATCAAAATATGTAAATGTACATAGTCTAGACTTTTAGTAAAATACATGTAAATATGAGGCCTAACATTAAAAAAAGGTATTTTTTACTTAGTCTCAGAATGTTTTGTAACAAATTCAAGAAATATTGAAATGAGAAAAAAAATTAAATTTACCTAAAAACAGGTAAACATAAGAAAACAAGGAATTGAGAATCCTTTAATGATTACAGATTTTTTTTCCAACTCATTGCTTATAGTAATAGTGTACTTTCCTCTGGGTTTGTTGAAAAAATGATAGAAATCACATCTATTCTTTTTTCAATTTTAAATATTTATGATTCTTTTTAAGGCACAATGATGTTGTATACTCTTAAAACAAAATCAAATTATATTTAAGCTTTAAGTGAATTAAATAGAATTTCTTTTATTAGAAATATTTAGTTAATATATCTATTCTTTATTTTTTCATCTGAATCTAGATTCCAGGATGAACTTATGTAAATCCAGTTTCCCTTTGTTTCAAAAATGCTTACTATGTTTTATTACCTGGCATCCTCGCTACTGGGGCACACTTCAAAATAAGCTGATTTTACAAATTTGTAATTTTTTGAACTTTATTTCTCCATAGAGTCCACAGATTTATAACTGATATATTTCTACTTACAAAGATTAAATAATATGTAATATAATTTTGCTTAATCTGTGATAATACCATCTAAAATCATACAAGAATATGATGGCTTTCTCTGAAAATTACCAGGAAGGAAATTTGAAATACTACATACATTAGAATGGTGATCAAAACAGGTTTCAGCGTGCACATAATCACCAGAGTTATCCAAAGTATTTGCAATTTACACTAACTGAAGAGAACGGATTGGGTTTATATTATGCATATATTATCTGTCATTTAACCCTAAAGCAACATGTTGGCTATACATATATACATCATTATTAGAGCACAGGGTCATGCTGCCATTCAAAATTAAGGTGCCACAATTTTATTACAGTAGAACAGCATTCAAGATGCAATAGAATGCTATGAAAGTGCAAAAATTTTTCACAGATTGCATTTATGAATGAGTTTGGTCACAATGAAATGGGATTTTATTTTATACAAATGGAAAAGATTTATCATAAATATATAGACCAGTATATAACATTGAAGAACAAGAAGCAAAAGGGAAACAAGGCTCTTGCATAAAGATCAATTCGCTTTGCTGCAGTTGGAATAACGGGTTTGGCAGGGGGTGGCTTCTTGTTGTTCTTTGCCTGGGATTTCCCAAGTCCATTGTTGACTTCAATAGGTTTTCCATAGCAATCATAATTTGATAATTCAAAATCTCTTGGTAAACTTCCAACAATGCTGAAGTCATTAGATCTCAGATCAGACTTAGAAGTACAAACCTTTTTGCATCTGGTCTCACCAACCTGAGAATAAAAATTAAAGGCAGAGTGTATTTAGAATTTTTGTTTTTATCTGAGATTTAATTTGATCAGTTGACTATTACCAATGATAATTAAACCTTTAGTTTGCCTGGACATTTAGACTCTAAAATGTTGCTTATATTCATGAAAAAAACTTTTAATAGGTTATTCTATGTTAAGGCATCAAAGTGAAAACCTACACTTTAGTGCTCCCGGGCTTGCTAGTTCTCAGTTCAAAGCCCAATAAATATAAGTTCAATATTTAACCATGGAACAGACCATATTACTACAATATATGGAGTAAGGAAATCTTCTGGTATTTCTAACCTTCAACTGCCGCTGTATCCTATTTTCAAATAGGATGATTTGTAAATGACTGAGGGATCTGTCACTCCAAAGAAATAGACTTTCTCTAAACCACACTCACCTATAAGAACTAAAAGATGGCTATAAAAATGTTGGCTAAAGTTGAATTAACCAGCACACACAGAGAATCCAAAAAAAATTGTGTACATTCAGCCAGATCATATGCTACAGATATTACTCAGTTGATAATTACTGAAATACTCTCAGAAAGAATAGAAGTATAGGCTAATCCTAATGGCTTAAGATAGCACTTGATGTTATGTATGGTCAAAGAAGGGTGAATTCTTTACTCTGCTGTGTAATTTTCCACTGTGATTCAACTTTGGAATCGTCACTACTGACATAGTTATTGAGTTTTTTGGTGAAATAGAACACCCTATCAATGTATGCTGTTAGCATACTATAGTTACTCTAGTTTTTGCTTAATTAATATAATACATTGACTAGTTATGCAGATTTCATTTACATTTAGTAGATTTTTGGCTGGGAGCAAACTATGCTTAATATAACAAAATATTCTCCAGAAGCAGGATACTATCATTTATTTGAACAAAGACTTAAGCATCTTTCCTGAAGAACCAAACAGCTGTGTTCAAAGGCGGATAGCAAAGATAACCAAGATACAGTGAGTGGCGGAAAAAAGTTAAAATGTACTTGTGTTTTTTTTTAGCTGATATTCTTTGTTGACTTTATTATAAAATTGATCTCACATAGATATTTGCACTTCTTACCAATTAGGTAAGAAGTTTTTAAAAAGATGTTTATGCAAATATAATTATACAAAATACACCAAAATATGTTGACAGTAGGAATGAAGAGTGAGGAGTAAGAAGTTCACCCTACTGAATATTTCACACTCTTAAAAAAAAAGATGTGACTTACCAATATATTAGCCTATATAGAGAATGTTTGTTATAATACAGCATAATGGAAACATAATTGTATCCTGGTTCAGTGGGACATTGTTTTAGCTGATGGAGACCAATCTGAAGAAAGAGATTCTCCATCTCCATTTTCAAAAATGTACCGTTATAATTTATCAATTGGGAGAGCTCATTTGAATTAAAAAGAATGATTATATCTTGATGAGGTGACTATTGATAGAGTCTGCATAGGTCTAGGGTCTAGTCCACATCAATTCATACTCTTTGTCTAGGAAAATGTCTGGAAAAATTAAAACCAGGGACTCATCAAAATAATGAGAGCAAGAACAAAGGTAGTAACTAAAAATAAATTATCTTGGGAAATCATTCATATATATGAATCATTCGTGTACATCTAAAATTTATTTCCAGTCCTTCCACTTAGATTTCCCAATTTGAAATTTTAAAAAGCCATTTGCAGCAATCAGTCTGTCTCCAAGCTCCACCACCACACACAAAAATACTTGCACATTCGCATTCACACACCTTCCCTATGAGTGTTCCAGACAGATCACATTTAAAGTTCTATTTTTCCAGTGTTGTTTGAGGAATGTGTAAGTCTCAACATCTATCAGTGAACTTTTGCAAAAACTAAAGCATTGCCTTGATTGGAACAAAAATTAAGAAAGATCCTACACATTAAATCTCTGCATTATCTTCAGACTTATAGTACAATCTTCTAAATCTGGACTCTGGGTATTCTAGTCTCTCTTTCTCCCTTAAGAATCATCCACTCCAAATATTTAAAATATACAGGGTCTCCCCGGTGGCGCAGCGGTTGTGCGCTGGGTTGCGAAGCTGCCCGCAGTCTCTGCAGCGCTTGTTCGATCCCTGGCTGCTCCCCGGCCACCGGAGGAGGGTCCCACATGGCGCGCAGACCTCTCCTGCCGCCCGCTGCTCCCCTCAGCAGTGTACTTTGGTCCTTCTCCCTGCTCTGCTCCCCGCTCTGACTCTGGTGAATTCTCTCACCCTCCCGCGCTTCTGACTGTACCCAGTGCTTGTATAAATAAATAAAATAAATAAATAAAAATAAATCTATAAAAAAAAATAAAATATACAAATTGTGCTTTGGAATTCACTTTGCTGAACAAAGAAATACTCTGACTTCTTTTTTTTTTTTTTAGAAGTACTCTGACTTCTACAATAAACTTAGGAAGTATGATTTCTTACTTATATATGCATTTATAACACATCATATTTTATGTATGACTAGGTATGGCTTTAGTATCTGTAAATAGCTGAATAACTGAATAAGTAGCCAAAGTTACATGATATTATAAATCTAAATCACACACAAATACTTCAAAATTCCTAATCTATTTTATTTATATTTTCTTAGATTCTGCCAGAAATATTGATAATTTTAGAAATTTATCCACACAGTGTATTCAAAATTAGACTGTTATATTTATTTCTATAAATTATTTAAATATATCAACATGTGAGTAAAAGAATACTTTTTCTATGTTAAAGTAATAACATGAAAGGTCACTAATAGTAAAATCTTCAATTCGGTTATACTAAACTTTTAATCATTTAAAATTACAACCTCTTCCAGAGATGTATTTGAAGATCCTTATATTTGAAATGATTAGAGAAGTGTGTGTATATGTGTGTTGGTTGAAAGAACCTCTATGAAAGAAGTAATTTTTAATGATGTGACACAAATGAAAGAGAGATAAGATTAGATTGGTTGGTTCCAACTTCTCCCATTCATCAGAGATTTTATACAAACATAACTTCTCTTTTAATACTCCTTGCACATAATTATCATATCTGTGCATTAAAGTAGAAAAGAGTTTATAATATAAATACTATTTTAAACAATCATAATATCACAAGAAAAGGGATTAAAATTGCTTATAAATAAAACACATACTTAACACATTCTTAAAGTGATTGTGGTTATACTAATCTCTAATTTATAATTTTTTTAAATATTCCTCATATAAATGTGTCTCATTTTCTTTCATCATAAAAACTTGTCACTTCTGAAAATTACTGGGAGCAAAAATGAGGTAGTATGATAATGAAATTGTCAAAATTAAAAATGATGCATATAAAAACTTCCTAATGCTTCTATTTTTGACTCTAAATTTTTTTGTGATTTTTTTTTTTTTTAGCTTGAGTCTGCACATATTTAAAACAAAATCAACTCATATAATATTTCCTGATTTAAAAAGCTAGGTGTGATATCATGGTGAACATAATTTCTTCTATAGATGATAAAGATAACTGCAGATGATAAAAATATGCACAGAAGCAAAAAAATATCTGTATATTTCACCAAATTTAAAGCAATTCCTGTTTTTGAAAACATATTTCCATAAATAAGCAACCTCATTTATGGACCAACAACACATTTTATTTTTTAATGTATTCAAATCGGCAGGCATGAATACTATTTGCATTTCATTCCCACACCTTTGTTGTTTACAGTGCACGGTGCATATAAGGATGATAGATGGACAGACAGCAGTCAGGGAAAAAACAAGGTAAATCAAGCAGCTCTCTCCTGACATGGTAGAAAGAATAGGGGAAATCATTTTGTTGGAAATGTCATTCTTACCTGCAAAGTACTAATGTGAACAGGAGTCCCTGTGCCGTTTACAGTATTCTTTTTAGCTGCATTGCCACCTTTGCCATCTGCTTGCTCAGCCTTAGCAATTCTGGCCTTTTCTGCTTCAACTCGTTTGGGATTATTCAACATCACCTGGACAACAGCATACTCCACCAGCGAAGCAAACCCAAACAGAAGACAAGCAATAAGCCAGACATCCAGGGCCTTCACATAAGACACTTTGGGAAGTTCAGCGGCAAGGGTTGTGCACTCCGAGGCCAAGCTGAGTACAGAGAAGATACCTGCAGAAACAGAAATTATAATTAAAGTTTTGTATCCCCCCCTTTTTTCCCCTATGGAAATGTTCTACCACCATTACCCTTGGCCTAAATCCCTTCCCAGTTCCTTCCAATGTTAACAGTGTGATGTCATAGAAAGGGGAGGTTCCAGGTTCCCTGCCTCACCCAAAAAAGGGTGGAACTGAATAGAGATGAAAAACTGAAGCATCAGGAAGAGACAGAAGAAGTTCTGGAGGAGACACACGAAGCAGAGAGACATGAGAAGAAGATGTGCTTGCTTCTAGGCCTTGTTTTTGTACCAGTGACTTGAGGTCATGGAAGGAAACACTTGAAAGAGACAGAGACATGTGTAAGAGACTCCATGGGGGGACTGATGAGCAGCCTTTATCTTGATTTTGCTCTTTTCTTTCCAGACTTGCCTGGCCCCTTCTGCTCCTGTGCTGTGGGTTCCCACCAAAAGGTGCCTTAGGCTTTTGGCAGCCTTTCTGGTTTCAGTGGCCCTGCTATGGCCAACCCTGTCTGGCTGAGCACTTACCCTGTAGGGGATGGGTAACTTTGGGTGCTTAACTGGAAACTATTTTGAACTATATACTTTATTTTCTCTCTATTGCACTCTAATTGTATTAAAGTTCTTTTCCATTGAAGGTCTCATGCACTAATGTAAGTTTTGTTTTTAGACACATTTTAGAACGTGCAGGTTTGGGGGTCTGAGGTACCCCTCACCCTGATCTGTAACATATTTGTCCATGATCAATTCATTAGGTCCCCTGAAAGCCCCAAGAGTAGAACAAAATATTGTGCGCATACTTTTTATGTCAGGATTCTTGATTGTGGTTGGGGATGATTGCAAATATTTAGCTTTAAAAAAAATAACCAACATAAGCATCATCTCTCTCTCAGCACTGGTTTTTTGCTCCATATTAGTGATGGGTTGTCAGCATGGATGAGATGACAATAGCATGATGGGCAGTGTCTGGTTTATTTCTGCATCTCCCCTCTTCTGACAAACACCCTCCACCCTCATTCCTTACTCAATAAACATTTGACACCATACACACACACACACACACACATACACCAAACCCCCCCCAAAACTAGGGTGTAATAACACGATATGGATATTTGGATTTGGTTTAGCTACTAGAGATGCCTAAAACTATTCTATAATCTCTCTAAGGAAGCCATAAAGGTTTCTGATTAGACAAGTTTATTTTAATTTTAGCTTTATTTTATAAAGATTGCAGCTACAGAGCTTAATTTTACACCAATAAAACAACTACATCAGAATAAAAATATAATACATAACTTTCTGATAAGGTTGAAAATTTTTAAAATCTAATATAAAAGACAAAGTAGAAAATGTTTCTTCTTATTTCAGGGGAAATATTGTTCCAACCTTTAAAGGAAAGAATAAAATTCTGCATTAAGTAATATTAACTATGTAACTAGTTATATATCAGTTTAAGTGAAATAACTGTAAAATCCCAATGGACAATGTCATAATTTATCTCTTCCCCTTTCCACTTGTCACACTCCCATTTTCCTTCCTTTGTCTCTTACTCCCTTTCTTCATATTACAGAAGAGTGGTGGGCAGTAAGACCTATTGGCACAGATCACCCACAATGAACTAGCTCAGAAAGAAGCTCACAGGGTGACAAGGCAGTTTCACTTCAAATCAAGGAGGAAACTGTTTTGCCTCAGCTCTGCCAGTCTGTTTCACTTCTGGGGCCAAGTGCATGTTTTCAACTTAGATTTCACCATCTCTGAGAATTAATGTTATGTTAGCCTAATGATTAAATATGTACTTGGTTTTCTTTTCCCTTCCCTTGAAAGGAAATATTGTCAGATTATAGAAGGTCTTGGAGGTCCAGTGGATTTTTTTAATTTATTTGATAGATAATATTAAGAAACTTTAAATTGGTAGAAGAGAAACTATATTCTTAAAAGAATCTTTAAGTAGGGCCTCCCTGGTGTCACAAGGGGTTAAGCACCGCACTATGAAGCAATCCGCAGCCTCTGCAGCACGAGTTCAATCCCTGTCCCGCAGGGAGCAACCCACATGGCGCAGCAGACCTCTCCTGTCTTGCCCGCTGCTCCCCTCAGCAGGTATTTCAGTAGATCCACCTGTCCTGTTCCCCACTCTGTCTCTGGTGAATCCTCTCACCCCTGGCAACTCTGGCCTGTACCCCAGCTCTTGTATGCATAAATAAATAAATCTTTAAAAAAAAAAAAAAGAATCTTTAACATTACTCTGGTAGGGATATACAAAACAGACTGAGAAAGGGAAAAAATAGTAGTTGCAGAAACAAAGTATATAGAAATGAAGAATAGGATCCATGCAAAAGGATTTTGGAGAAAACATTTAAAAGACTTGGTTACCAACTGAAGGAAGAAGGAAAAGATTGAGACAAAGTTCTTAACAGACTAACTCAAAAAATATCCATTAAAAATGGGAAGAGAGGATTGCAGAATAGATGATGATTTTGGAATGAAAATACTGAGGAAGGCTAAAGGTCAAAAAAAAAGAACCAATATGGGCCTCCCTGGTGGCGCAGCAGTTGAGCGCTGGGTTGTGAAGCTGCCCGCAGCCTCTGCGGTGCCGGTTCGATCCCTGGCCCCGGCCACTGGAGGAGGGTCCCACATGGCCGCAGACCTCTCCTGCCGCCCGCTGCTCCCCTCAGCAGTGTACTTCGGTCTTTCTGCCTGCTCTGCTCCCCGCTCTGGCTCTGGTGAATTCTCTCACCCTCTCGCGCTTCTGACTGTACCCAGTGCTTGTATAAATAAATCTTTAAAAAAACAAAAAACAGAACCGATAACCAGGACACAGCATAGCACACTTAACTATTTGAAAAGGACAGATTAGCCAATATTCAGACAGAGATCATGTTGAAAAGGCAGAAGACTTCATGAAGCCAAAATGCTCTGGTGTCTGAGAAAAGGAGCAGAGCAAGGGGGAGGGATAGGACATTAGTACATCTGGGGAGGGAAAGGAGAGATAATTATAATTCTACTCATTAGGTTAGAAACAATGGTGCTCAGTTCTATTAATATTTTCATTATTTCAAAGAAACAGAGATAAGTTAAGAAGATAATATGAACATGACTACATACATACTATTAAGTCAGGAAATCATTTTCAAACAGAAAATATCAATTTGTTTATTTTATCCTAAAATAAGAAGACAATTATATTTCTGGACAAATATTATCTCATATTTCCATAAAAGCATCATCTTAATATAGATTTCAAGTGGAATTAGTTCATTGTTAAATAATGTGTTGTAAAATTGTCTGAACTTTTATTATTCAGCTCATTAATATGCAGTGAGAATTTTATAGTGATACGTTTTATAGCAGCCACTACATGTCATAGTCTGTTACATCTTCACCTAGCAGACATTTCAGAAATGTTCCACACCCAGCTCCTACTCTGCCTGTCTTTTCAAACCTTTACATGAAGCTTTTCCATCTCAGTGAATGGCAATTTCTTTTTTCTGGTTGTTCAGCCAAAAATACTTGGAAATCAGCCTTGATTCTACTTTCTTAAATCCTGCATATAACACATCTATACATCTTTTTTTTTATCTGTGCCGTATCCATTCTCCATTTTTGAGAATCACTACTACTATCTCCTGGCCCACACTATGATTCCTTCATCTGGCTAGTTCAAGCATCTGGGTAATCCAAATGCATTCCTTGCTTCCAGCCTGACCTCCTTGCAGTTTTGTTCTAAAAACAAGTAGCTAAAGACAACCTGTTAAAATGTAAATCAAATCATTCCCAAAATGCCCCAGGGGCATTGCCTTTCACTCTGAATAAAGGTCAGAATCTTCAGAATGGTTAAGAGGAGTTTCAAGACCCACCCTCCCATCATTATATTTCTGATCTTATCTTTTAATCCTTTTCTCATTCTGATCCAGCCATGAAACTTTCCTGTTGCTTCTAAAATGCTCAAAGTTTGTTCCTACCTCCCAAATACTTCAAATATGCTACTGCCTTGGTATTGCTGCCCTTGATGATCACTACCCAGCCCACTCTCTCCTAGGTACCCAGAAAGATTCATTCCTTTACCCCCTGTAATTCCTTATCCAACATCACTTCTCCTTGGCACTATTTTTTTTTTTAAAGATTTTATTTTATTTATGCTGACAAGAACTGGGGTACAGGCGGGAGGGGGTGAATGTGTGTGTGAGAGAGGATTCACCAGAAACAGAGTAGGGAGCAGAACAGACAGATCTACTGAAATACACTGCTGAGGGGAGCAGCGGTTGAGACGGGAGAGGTCTGCTGCGCCATGTGGGTCACCTCCCTGGCCAGGGATCAAGCTTGTGCTACAATGGCTGCAGATTGCTTCATAGTGCTGCATCTTAACTCCTGCACCATCAGGGAGGCCCCAGCACTATTCTTGACTATCAGGCTGCCGCTCCTGAGCTCATGTATTTCTGTATCTAGTGTTATACAGTATATATTAAATTTGCTAGGAGTATTGTTAGGGGGAAAGGATGTCCTGAGATAATCTCATACAGGCTTTGTGGACTCCACCCCCACTCCAGACTAAAGCCATCAGGACATTGGGAAAGACAAATCCCATCACCACTAAGGGGAGGGTGGCTGGGACCTGAGGGTGGAGTTGGGCAGCCAAGTTGGATATAAAAACCAAACACGTGGGCCTTGCTCGCTCTCTGGCTCGCGATCGCTCGCCTCCTGGCTTCACCGCTCCTGGCTGGCGGCCAACTCTGAGAGCGCCATTTTGGGATTCCTGATCGGCGGATCGGGTAGGACTCATTTAAAACTTTGTCTCCCACTTTTCTCCCAGAGCTGTACATTTCCTCATTTCCCCTTCCCTTGTAAATAAACCTTTTATTAACCTTTCACGTGTGCCTGCAGTAGAGCATTGATAAGTCCTTTTAAGCACGCGGGTGAGGACCCACAGTCAGGCACCCCGTTTTGTATCGGGGTTGCTCTACAACAGTATGAGAATATAAACTCATTGAGGCTAAAAGATTTTCTTTTATATTAAATCTATTTTATGAATTATTTATTACTTTGTTACCTATGGACTTCGTTGTCTATATTCCCTTCTTTCTGAACAATACTTTGTGCATAGTACACAATAAACATTGTTGAATGAATCAAAATGCATAAAAATGCTTCATAATCTATAAAGTAACACATAACTGGGCATAGGATTAAATTCTGAGTGTAAATATGGATTTGACATTCATTTTTTTCCCCTGTTCTCCAAGTGTTCCATTGAATATTCTTTTATCCCAGTTGACATTTCAACAGAATGTGGGCCTGTTGTCCAAGTTGTCAGAACTAGTAATCACAGAGCTGGAATTCAAGCCCAGAATTGACTCTAGAGATTACTTTCAACCATCAAGCACTTCTGCTCCCTACAACAGGTCTACAGGATGCTAAGTGACAGCTCAGGGACCTCAGAAGTCCTACAGTGGACAGGAATTTGCAGAGAAAAATCTTTCAAGGATATGTCAGGAATTGGGATGTCTCCAAAGTACCCCTGGAAGCCTGGCATTTCAATTCTTATCACTGCATGAAAGCTAGATATTTCTACTAAACAAACAAAAGACTACTTGGGGGAAACACATGGGATTTTTAAAAAATCTAAGTATTAAATCTAGTTTGGTGAGGGGTTTATTTTTAGTACATTATACTACACAATTAGCATCCTTTAAAGGAATCTATCAGTCGAGACACATAACACTAATGGTAATTCTCACATTTCTGATTATAAGGATACATATAGTCTTTGTGGTTTTTATCAGAGGTAAACCATCAGATTTATTATTCAGATAAAATTGTCATCTTCACTGCTTCTTTCCTGGTTTCCTACTCTTTAAAATCTGCATTTCATTTAATCCCTCTAATATGTCAGGAAGGAGATTTGAACAAGGCCTTCCCAATGAAAGAAAACACTGCTGTAACCAATCACTCACAAAGAGGTCAGATATATCACAGCCTTACCTACTATATAAGTTCCAGGTGATATTTAGAACACGCAAGTGCACACACACATAGGTACACACACACACACATACCACAGAGTAATGAAAGATTTTAGAACACTCCAATCAAAATTTGTTGACACAAAGTTCTTTCTTTGAAAATATTTTATCCACAAGAAAAGTTCTTTCTTTTTATTTCTAAATCTATTTATTTATTTATTTTCTCACATATTTGTTAATTTTGGGACAGTATTTGATTTCTCCCCTCAGGTGTAGCCCCTTAATTCTCCCACCACCATAGCACCCGTGGCCCATCACCACAGTCCCTTATGCTCCCTCCCCTGTTTTGACCTCTCCTCTTGGATGCCACAATTTCATGGTCATTTTGCAAGTTTTGTCATTTTTCCTGGACTTGTTTGCCTTCTCTGCATTCCACATGTAAGTGAAACCATCCAATATTTACCCTCTGAAAGGAAATCTGCACTCTTACATTTATTGTAGCACTATTACAATATTCAAGTATGAAAACAGCCTTAATGTCCCAAAACAGATGAATGGATCAAGAATATGTGTCACATGTACACAATGGAATACTACACAGCGATCAAAATAAAATAAATTCAGGCCATTTGCAACAACATGAATGGAGCTGGAAGGGATTACGCTAAACAAGAAAAGTTCTTGATTATTTTCCTGCACATTTCCCTTTGTGAGTCTGGCTAACAGTGTTTCAATGTCACAGAGAATTAAAAATAAAATCTTGATTTTTTTTGTTTCAATAACAAAAGGGATGGTTTTTTTGATTTCTTCTTCTTCAGATTTATTGTTTGTGTATAGGAAGGCTACTGACTTTTGCGTGTTGATTTTGTATCCTGCCACTTTACTGAACTGATTGATGAGTTGAATTAGCTTTTCTGTGGAGTTTTTGGGGTTCTCTATGTATAATATCATATCGTCTGCAAATAGTGATAGTTTGACTTCTTCTTTTCCTATTTGGATTCCTTGGATGTCTTTCTCTTGTCTTATTGCCCTGGCTAGGACTTCCAGTATTATATTGAAAAGCAGTGGTGAGAGTGGACATCCTTGTCTTGTTCCAGATCTTAATGGAATTGCTTTCAGCTTTTCACCATTGAGAATGATACTGGCTGTTGGCTTGTCATAGATGGCCTTTATGATGTTGAGGTATGTTCCTTGTATCCCAAGAATTTCAAGGGCTTTTATCATGAATGGGTGTTGTACTTTGTCGAAAGCTTTCTCAGCATCTATTGATATTATCATATGGTTTTTATATTTCTTTTTGTTGATGTGTTGGATAACGTTGATTGATTTTTGGATGTTAAACCATCCTTGTGCCCCTGGAATGAATCCTACTTGGTCGTGGTGAATTATCTTATGGATACATTGTTGGATTCTGATGGCTAAAATTTTATTGAGGATTTTTGCATCAGTGTTCATTAGGGAGATTGGCCTGTAGTTTTCCTTTTTTGGGAATAAATATTTGGGAATAAATCTAACAAAAGAGGTAAAGGACCTATACAAAGAAAACTATAAAACACTGTTAAAAGAAATAGAAGAAGACACAAAGAAATGGAGAGACATCCCCGGCTCGTGGATTGGAAGAATAAACATTATTAAAATGGCCATTCTTCCAAAAGCAATATACAGATTCAATGCTATTCCAATCAAAATTTCAATGTCATTCTTCAAAGAAATAGAACAATTATTGATGAAATTCATATGGAATCACAAAAAACCCCGAATAGCCAAAGCTCTCCTGAAAAAAAAAGAAGGGAATGGAGGCATTACACTCCCAGACTTCAAACTATACTACAAAGCCATAATCATCAAAACTGCATGGTATTGGAACAAGAACAGACATACAGACCAATGGAATCGAATAGAAAATCCAGAAATAAACCCACAGATTTATGGTCAACTAATCTTTGACAAAGGAGCAAAGACTATGCATTGGAGCAAAGAAAGTTTGTTCAATAAATGGTGCTGGGAAAACTGGGTCGCTACATGCAAAAGAATGAAGCTTGACCACTACCTCACACCATACACAAAAATCAACTCAAAATGGATTAAAGAACTAGACATAAGACCTGAAACCATAAAATATATAGAAGGAAATATAGGCGAAACACTACGTGATTTGCACATCAAAGACATCTTTACAGACACATCACCCAAAGCAGTGATAGTGAAGGCAAAGATAAACAGCTGGGACTACATCAAATTAAAGAGCTTCTGCACAGCAAAAGAGACAATAACAAAAACAAAGAGAAACCCCACCAACTGGGAGAACATTTTTGCACCCAACACTAATGATAAAGGACTGATCACAAAAATCTGCAAAGAGCTGATGAGACTCAACAACAACAAAGAAAATAATCCAGTCAAAAAATGGGCAGAAGAGCTAAAAAGAAACTTCTCTGAAGAGGAAATGCAAATGGACAACAGGCATATGATAAAATGTTCAACATCACTTGCCATCAGGGAAATGCAAATCAAAACTACCATGAGATACCATCTTACACCAGTGAGAATGGCACATATTAAAAAAACTAGCAACAACAAATGCTGGCGAGGGTGTGGAGAAAAAGGAACTCTTCTGCACTGTTGGTGGGAGTGCAAACTGGTCCAACCACTGTGGAAAGCTGTGTGGAGATTTCTGGACCTACTAAACATAGAGCTTCCATATGATCCAGCAATTCCACTCCTAGGTATTTACCCAAAGGACACAGAAACATCAATTCCAAAGAGCACCTGCACCCCTATGTTTATAGCAGCACTGTTTACAATAGCTAAGCTTTGGAAACAACCCAAATGCCCAAAAATAGATGACTGGATCAAGAAGATGTGGTACATATATACCATGGAATATTACTCAGCATTCAAAAAAGATAAACACATGCAATTTGCAGCAACATGGATGGCGCTGGAAGGGATCATGCTCAGCGAAATAAGCCAAAAAGAAAAAGAAAAATACCGGATGGTCTCACTCATAGCAGGAATCTAGAAAACTTAAATAAGGGACCAGGAAAATGAATAACTATAAGAAAGTGAAAATCAAAATCAACAAAAAACTATGAACCAGAGACACTTTTTTGGGGGCGGGGGCGGGAGGGGAGGGATTGGGGTCAGAATGGGGGGGCTGCAATTGTATGGGGAATATAACAAAATTTATTATTAAAAAAAAAATAAAATAAAATCTTGGAGAACCTGGCCTACAAGTCCTTACTTCTAGCTGCTACTGCTGATACAGCACACAATAACTGATGTTTAGGAAAATGATGTCATTTTTAACAAGATAAATTATATTACACATTCCCTGCTTAATAGTATTAGATAGTATATAGTATTTTCAAGAAAGATTTCTACCCAAATAGTTATTTAAGTTTGGCATTACTGGTGATTTTAGACTCTAGTTCTCTGAGAAAAATCACTTGTTAATAATTATTTCATAACAAAACAGGACAGGTTAACATTTAAAAGGCAGGAAAAGAAATGTTCAGTTTAATTATAAGGTGCATAAATTATAAAGTACATAAATCTTGAGATAATCTAGTTCAAAACTTCAAGTTTTGAAGTAAATCTAAAAATAAGAGAAAGGTTGTCATCAATTTCAAAACTCATTATTTCTAAATAGTTGATTGAATATTAGTAAATAACAGGTATAGAAAGCAGCACATCCCTGGCATCAGAAAGAGAGAGGCAAGGAACAGATTACCTAGGGGCACTCTGGCAGCGCTAGCATCCGGGTTGATCCAGAAGGACAGCCAGGAGAGAACCACAATCAGCAGGGTGGGGGCATAGACGCCCATCATGTAAAACCCCACCTGTCTCCTCAGGGTGAAGATCACCTCCACGCATGTATAGTAGCCTTTCAGAAACAGACACATTAAAGGTGTGAAGCTCTTCCCCACATACAACTGCAGAAATCAATAATGCATCTCCTGTAAAGTATGTCACTTCTATCTGAAGCAATTTCACAAAGTAAACTCCCTGCAAAAAAGTTTTTCTTCAAATATCTATAATTGATGGTCTCTAAGAGGATGACATTATGGGACCTGCTTCATCTGACCTTTCACAACTTCATTATGACATTGAGAAATAGATCCCACATGCTGCTCCACTATGTCAGTGTCTCAGCTTTTAAGTCTTTGTTCAGAGAATTTGCAATGGACTTCAACTTTTCATTACCCACGGGTACTCTCAGAGCGAGTGATCTGAAGGAGTCATACAGAGAGCAATAAATCAAAGCAGAACAAGTATAAAAAGAAACATTCTATACTACGCATTGTCAGGAAAGTTTTCAGCCACACCTACTATTTCTTGCCTAGAAAGGACAGAAATTTACAAAAGCTCAGATGGATATTTAAACCTTACGCGTTAAGACAGTATTGGAAGTAAATATTAACAAGGATAAGAAATAAGTGTTTTAATCTAGGTGGATAAGATTGCAAACTGCCAATAGCTGACATTCCTCTCCATTCTCTCCTACCCTCCACTCCTGGCCCTGAAATGTACTCTACTTCAGGGACAGACCTTTCATTTTCACAAGCTGAGACACTTGCAAAAATTGCCTTCCAACAAAATCCTAGAGCCGCCATGACATCAACTACTTTTCCAAATTAATCTACAAATTATGGGCAGTCTCATATCAGGCTTTATTAACGTGAAAAATAAATTAAGTGACACAAATACTTTCCTATCACGGGAACAGAAGAGATATTTCTAGATGTTTGAGATGATACTTTGTTAGCAATTTAAATACATTTCTTTAATGCTTAAAGCGCATAACTTAGATACAAATATAATTTATCCAATAAAAGTAAGGTTATAAAGCTATGCATCAGTGCTAAAAAGTTCAAATATTGATAACTTCAATTGTGTTCAGCTTAAACTGTACCGAATTACTTGAAAATGTTGAAATAAATGAATAAATGGTAAATAAGTAAAACAATCCTGGAAAAAAGGGTAAAAAGTGTTTTTATAATTTTTAGTTTAAAAGTAGCATTTATTTTCCCTCATTGGAAACACTATATGTATTGTTGATACTAGAATAACCTTCATATTTACTCATTATTAGTATTTCGGGCAGTGTTTGAACAAAATAGGGCTTCAACGAACACTGAATAAAAGAATGGCTATTCTCAATCTTTCTCAAATAAATTATAAATCTGTTCTTTCTTCCAATGTGAATGATAATCATTATTACCTGAGTGAGTACAAAGATAGTGCTAATACACAAGAAAAACAAATAGTATATTTGATCTGACAAGTAAATTCTAATTATGCTAAATTTTCTATATAATATATACAAATGCAGTGTCTTCATAAAGTTTTCATTTCATTAAAACTAGGCAATTTATTTAAATCATGCATAGGATTTAAAACAACGCAAAAAATAAAACAATGAAAAATGTCCTTCCCTCTTCTCTGCTCACCACTTACCTTAATTTCCTACTTCAACAAACAAGAACTTTGTGTTTCTAATAATTACATGCAAAAATTCCAATATATAATATTTCATGAATCTAATTTGCTGCAATTAAGGGGCTTACCATATTTCTTAAAATTAGTTCTGAAGTTGCTTGCTTTGCCATAGCATCACTAAGTTAATTTGACATTCACTTAGTGCATGTAAAATGGAGAACAATTTATATGTGGTTAGCATGTTTTTTCAGATTATAAGTTATCACAAATATTATAGTGATTTATTATAAAGTTGCTCACTTTAAAGGGAATTCTTGTAGTCTACTACACCATGTGACAGCCTAAAAACCTTGAGTCTTATATTTTGAAGCCTTTTACCGCCATGTCCCTATATTCAGACACCACTCAGGGAGTGTCACAAGACTTGGATGCATGCAGCAGTAAAATACATGCTTGGATATTATAGTGATTTACTCCATAAACTCTTAAGAATAACATTTCTTGATCTTTTCCTGGTACTGTTACATTTATGAGAAGCAGGTGGGCAGCTAATTGATATAAATGTTCATTGGCAAATTCAATTTAGCTTTCTATTCCCTGTGAAGTTTTTTTTTAATTTATTTATTTATGCATACAAGAACTGGGGTACAGGCCAGCGGTGTAGGGGGTGAGAGGATTCGCCAGAGACAGAGTGGGGAGCAGAACAGGCAGACTGAAATACACTGCTGAGGGGAGCAGCAGGCAAGGCGAGAGGTCTGCTGTGCCATGTGCGTTGCTCCGTGGCAGGGGATGGAACTCGTGCTACAAAGGCTGCTGACAACTTCATAGATTGCGTCTTAACCCTTTGTGCCACCAGGGAGAACCCTATTTCCTGTGAAGTTTTATCTTAGTTTTATCTTCTTCTTATTCACTCAGGCTTACAATTTAAGTATTTTTGTATACCTGCTTTCCCATATATTTTGCCCAGCTATAGCCCATTAGTTTATATACACTATGCTCTCTATCTTCTACTATTTTACATTGTTAAGCATTTACTTTATTTTGAATATTATATTTCAGATATATTTTAAAATGTCCAATAATGAAAACATGTTTTGCTTGTATTCATTTGTTGATTCTTCTGAATGCTGAAAAGCATGTTTGCTAAACATAGTAAGTATTAATAATTGTTAGCCAGTTTTTTGGTTGTTATTTTCTGAAATCTTCACTGAATACTTGGGTGGTCATAGTATTTAGAACTCTTAGTTGTTCCTTTGAAAAAATATTGGTAATTCTTTTAGTAGTGTATCTGCTTACTATCTCTCTTATACTAATATACTATGTGCTTTGTAATAGAAGAGACCATTTATATGCATGCTATATAATCTTCCAATTAATTTGAAGGTCAACAACAGATGCTTAAATTATTTCTCCAAGTTGCATAGTATTGCATTTACTGTAACATTATAAATATGAAATTATTCACTCTGCCCTTTATTTCAATATCAATAGGACTGTTTTAAATTATATTTGACCTCAATGATGTCATGATGACACCATTTTAGTTCAAACATCTAATCTCTCTAAATACTGTACCATTACACTATACATTCTTATTCAGCATCTGCTTTAACTAAATGAATTCCTGAATCTTTGTTATGCTTTACTTCCTGACACAGGATTACAGTTTTGTGATAATTCATAAGCTGACCTGATTATTAGTGTTAGTGTAATGATGAAAATTTAATCATCTTTTTGCTTACATTGCTAAGTGAAATAACACTGTGTTGATTCTAAAGCCCTCAAAAACCCAGAGCTACCAGTGGAGGTGCAAAGGTTGACTATTAACCATATTATTAAAGTATTGAGCAGTGAGTACTGACTGTATTTTCATTTCTGCAAAATACTTGATGTAATTTGACTAATGAAACCAATTATGTGCATTTATAATGGTCGGTTCTATAACTTAGGTCAAAAATATTATACAAGGAATATTTGCTGATGACCATTTTTTCTCATATTCATTTCTTCCTACACAGCATAAAGCTTAACACTTTTTAATATTGAGGATATGGGTCAACCACATCTAAAAACTATCCAAAAAGCAACACACAAGTATATACAGATTATACTGTCCCTATTCTCATTGGCTCCAAGTGGAATTTTGCTGGAAGTAGAATTTCTTGACAACATTCAAGAAAACCACTGCTTGGCAAAGTTCGTGTTACCAAAAGATAAAAGTGAAAATTTTATTTTACCCAGAGTTACACAGAGAAAAGCAAAACTATCTAGTAATTAAAAAAAATTACAAGAACGTTGGCAAATGTAAACTTATGAAATATTTACATACATGAATGTAAAGATAAAAAAAATGCTTACTAGTTTTGTTGCAGTCTGCATTTAGCATATATTAATATTAAAATGAAACTTTAAAATAGGACAGTTTTGTTTATTTTAAAGAATATTACTTACCGGTGCCTTTATAGTATTTTGTACAGTTACCATATTCAATATCCTCCTTTTTAATATCAAACTGAGGCAAGGCAATTTTTTCTAACTGAACAGGATCCCCTGACTGCCAGATAAATCTTAAATCATCAGTTGTGTAACCAACTACAAACAAAATAAACAAATAAAAATGTTAGTTTGAAATATAATTACTAATGCCTTTAAAAATTTTAATAACCCAAATATATAATGTAGAAAGTATAAGGAAATAGGGTCTCCTTATATGAATTGTTAAAAACATAAAGAGGTAAAATCTATGGCCACTAATGAAATTAGTAAAACAAAAATTACAGATCATTGGCTTCCAGAAAGAACAAGTTAAAATAGTCAGCATACTGCAAGTAGTTAAAATCGTAGGGTGTCATGTACAGTAGTCATTCTGCTATATCAGAATTCTGAACTGTCATCATTGAGAAAATAATAGTTTTCTAATGTGTGCATTTACACTCATGCAATACACTATCTGAAAATTATTAAGGAAACTCATGAACCAAAAGTCATTTAATTGAAGAAATAACTATAAATTTCTCTAAAGGAACTTCATAACTAATAAAAATCCCTCAAAGGGACATCATTGCAAAATCCTGAAACACCTATGTTGGGCTTCAGTAAAATGGCTACAATTCCAGAATTCTATGGGGTTGTAAAGCATGGAGTAGTCTATCATAGAACTCTAAAGTGCACGTATATTTTAAAGCAGTACTGAAGTGTATTTGGTAGTAGAATTAAATGTAAATGCATGGTTGGGATTACTCACACATGTCTACAATATATACACAACATGTATACTTATAAGCTTACTGCCACAAAATGTCATGTTGTAATTAAAAGCAATAAATATCATTCACATTTAGGATCCAGTTTTAGTAAATTAAAATTAAAAAAGCAAATAACTACTACGTAACTTTAAAATGTAACATTTCACAGACATATGTAAGACATTTGAAAGGTTTATTATTCTTTACTCTGCAGAAGTAAGTCACAGTGTATAGGTATGCAGGTTAATGATTCCTTATCTCAGTGACAATATTTCAGGTTTTATTTCCAACTTTTATTTTTTAAATATAAATATGGTAGTAAATTAAGTAACATGTTTTATAATCATTTCTAGTGTATATCTAGACTGAAAAATTATGATTATAGAAATATAGAAATGTTATTATATGAAAAATACATTTTATACATCCTTAGATAATGAATGCACAGTAGGATTTAGAGACCATTTTTCAATGTCTTTGAAATTTTCTGCTATGAAAATGTAGTTTTAACATCAGAAAAGTTTTATAAGTTAGGACATTTCTCTTATACCTTGCCTGTATTATAAATTCAAATGTGGTTGACAAGTGGAATAACTTAGACATATACACCTACATGAATTGAACTGAAATTAGGAACTAGTACAAAAAAAGGATTCATCTATACTACAAATTAATATAACAGAAGAACTATAATTTACCTAAATCATATATTCTAATGGTTACTTGTAATCCAAATAGCTAATGTTAAAAATGTTATCTAAGATATTAGACAAATGTATGCCTGTATATTTGAAGCATTTTTATTCACTTAAGTCACTTAGGGGCACATTTACATACAGCTCTCCAGTTGCATCTTGCAACGTTGTGTGTCCATTGGAAACAAGGTCAAGTCCAAAGGGCATGAAAGAGTAATAGATAACCTGAAAGTAGAGACAAGAGTCTTAGAAATCACTGAATACATTTATCTGTGTTCTACAGATTTTGAAAGGAAAATATAAATGTACAAATGTTGAAGCTAAGAGTACCTCATGCTGACAAGGACATCTCCATCCCGAAAAATAAACAGAAGAATATTTTCCTGGGTTACATCATGAAAATTGGCACTTTTTTCATTTGCGAAAAATAAGTCAGGTTTCCATAGACACTTGTACATTGTAGGATCCACGGTCAGTGCATCTGAGCCCCGAAAATCACTAGGAAGTTTCAGTCTGGGATCATTCCATTTCTGTCTCAGGAAGATGTTAACCCTGTAGTCCTGGAAAAGATGTGTGTAGAGGTATGATTTTTGTCATTTTTAAGAATATATTCAGCACTAGAATAAAGAGGGTTTCAATGATCAGCAGCAGATATTTTTGTTCTTCTAATATCAACCAGGACCACAGCAGATCAGTCTCTAAGTTAGAGCTCCATCAACAGTAATGCACGCATACACAAGATCCTTGTGGTTATCCATTTACTTTCTAAGGCTATTTCTACTTTACCAATAATTGCCTTATATTTATAGAAACACCAATTGTAACAGTTGGTCAGGTACTGTTATCAAAAAGCCTGAGAAGTGGTAAAATATTACCATTACTCTTCCCAGAAAAGTAGAATACAATTTAGTTTGAAAAGATTAAGAGATAAAATAGGTAAGAAGCAAAGGAGAAATATTTCTATTTGTCCCTTACTAAGTAGCAAACTACAAAAATAATAGATAGTTACATATATATGTGTGTATATATAACACACATATTTTTAAAATAATATCTATTCTTAAAATGGAAAAAGAAAAGTTATCCAAGTTATCCTTGGCTATTCATATCTGTGAATGATTATGAGTTTGTGATAATTCAATTTTAGAGCGAACTGAATGAGTCAATCCAATGAGATTTGGACTATGCAAAACAGATAAAAGTAGATGAAAATTTATAAATGCTATGTTTAACTATAGTTCATTTTATTTTATTTTTTTTAAGGATTTACTCATTTATTTATACAAGCACTGGGTACAGTCAGAAGCGCGGGAGGGTGAGAGAATTCACCAGAGCCAGAGCGGGGAGCAGAACAGGCAGACAGACGAAGTACACTGCTGAGGGGAGCAGCGGGCGGCAGGAGAGGTCTGGGCGCCATGTGGGACCCTCACCCGGTGGCCAGGGATCGAACCGGCGCTGCAGAGTCTGCGGGCAGCTTCGCAACCCAGCGCTCAACCGCTGCACCGCTGGGGAGACTCTATAGTTCATTTTAAACTACAGTAAAAAATGTCTGAAATATGCCCTTTAGCAAATTTTGCATTTTACCTATTTCTAAAAATTATTTTAAACTTTGTAAAAATTAAATTATATCAAAACAGATTTTAAGAAATACATGAAGTTGAGGACATATTTAATATCTTAATACATTATGTATTTGCCAGTGAAATGAGGTTCTCAATTGGGTTTTTATTACATTCAGTCAAACTCAGCATTGAGCTCAGGTCTTTTGATTTTCATTTTCTATAGTGAATTCACAAGATGCACAAAAGTGCTCAGATTATATTGGTATTCAACATCTTTATTTTCAATAATTAAAAATTCACAAAACACTGTAGCCTTTCACAAGATCAAACTGAATTAGACCACAAACTTCAAATTAAAATCCAAATAAATAAAAAGAAAGACCTTTAGTAAAGGTCTTTACTAAAGACCTTTCTCATTTTTAATATAAATGTACTATAATATAACATAAATGCACATGCTATATAGATGTATAAAATTAAAATAATGCTTAAGGAATAAGCACTGACACTAGAAAAACTTGGGGGGATTTATTTTCTCTATCATGTGATTTTGTTTGTATATACAGACTCCTCATAGTAATTGGAGAAAGGAAAGGCATATAGTAACAATATGCATTTACTGAAGTATGGATGGTGCATTAAGATGAAATCTATCTACATCTTACAGCTTCCCTAAATTTGATGTTTATTAAAAACTTCAACATATAATAGAACTGATTCTTTAAAATCATATACAGATGGTTTTAGCATGTAAAAGTGAAAAAAATTAAAGGTTATATAAGTTGACCTTGAACATATTCTGGACCAGTGGAAAAAGCAGATAACATTTTTTACATCAAATGAACATGATTCAAAGAGAGAGTAAAAGGAATACTATAACCCCAGAAAAATGAAGGGCTGAATTACACGGTTATATGAACTTTTTCAACATATATGTCTATCTTAAAATTAACAACCAGATCAATAAAGTGATTATTTCATATCTGACTGTGATTATGACAATTTTGACACGTCCAAATAAAAGGCCATCTTCTTCAAATGATGAGGCCCCAGCCAATTGTGTGCCAAAACATTGCTTCTTTGCAAAAGTTTTCATCTATTCCATTCAATCATGCATGACCCTCTGTTTATGAAGGAATTCACCTTAAGATCAATCACTTTCAAATAAAACATTATGCTACCTTACTTAAAGCACAGAGTTGAGATCCACGTGACATTACTTGGAGCACAGGACCCAATTTCAAATTATTGTCTAAAAGTCTTCCTTGAAATGATCTGCCCAAATCATCAGTATTTTAAAACTATATACACTAAAAACTATTCCATTCCCTTCTGTCTATACTGTGTATTATCATAGTAAATCATCAAAAACTACATCTTTAAACTGCTTCTTTTAAAATACACATTCATAATATTATGATAAAATACTGTGTGCTTACCTTGTCATCAAAAATCAATGTGAAAAATAACCAGGTAAGATTGCCAATCTATCTTTATAAGCTTGTTATTAAAACCTTGGCTCCTTCTTTTGGGAATGACCATTACATTGAAATACGCAAGATGAATTCTTTATGTATTTAATTTTTTTTCATTTACTTATACATATATTACCACAATATTATTATATAGCTCTTTACTATGTCCTAGATCTATTTAATCTAAGTATGTTACAAAAATACATCTATTCCTCAAAGTTTATTCTATGAAAATGCTCTTTCTATGATTTAATATGCTCTTTATTACTGGATAGTAACACTTAAGTGCCCCATCATGCTTTCTATCTGGCAGGTAGGAATGAATCTTGGTATGACTATCATTGCATGGCTGTTGTACATTTAGTCCCACTTCAATTATTTCTTTATATTTTTTGTTATGTTAGTAAAAATCATACAAATTTTGGAGATCAGACTAAAAGGTTATTATTTTCCCTTTAAATATCATGCGAAAGCATTCTCTAACAAGTCCACCTAAGGAATGTATAATTGCCTACAAAAATATAACTTTGCCTGAGTTGCCATTTTCTATTAATTCTCAAGCTCTATAAAATTGGGTAATTTAGAAAAGACTAATAAATTACAAATTATTTTCTTATCTGGTAGAGATGCAAATGATTCCTGTCAGGTAGAAAGATATTCCCAAAGATTATGCCTTCATTGCCTTGTGGAACACTGACAAGTTTGTATTTAATTTAGCAATCTAATTCCAGCATTCTTTCTTTCACTTCAGTTTCCTGAATTCTCCATTGAATCAGCTTCACTATCTGGCTGGCTGCAATAATGAGTAAAATAAATCACTGACATGTCCTCACTCTATGCATGTTTTTAACTTTTCAAAAATTGTACTTTGTCCTAAAGCATTAAACAGGATTGCCATATGATCTCACAGTTTCACTGCTAGGAATGGACCCCAAAGAATCAAAAAAAGAGAAACTAATACAGATATTTGCAGACCCATATTCACAGCAGCATAATTCACAATAGCCAAAAGATGGAAACAATCCATGTGTCCATCAACAGAAGAAAGAATAACCAGATGTGGTATTTTCAAGTACACAATATGGAATATTAGTCAGCTATGAAAAAGAATGAAATTCTGATATATGTTATAATATAAATGAATCTTGGAAACATTACATAAAATAATCAAGGCTGAGGAAGAATTTGTTCAATTACTACTTGGAATAAGAAAATGCAAGCAAAAAATAACCCTGGGGAAGATAAGTATCTAAACAGCTGGATTACATAAAGTGCCCAACATATTTCTATTAAATACAGAACTGAAGAAACGTTTTTTGGGACACATTGACAGTTAGGACATTTGCCTAGCATTATTCATTGAATTAACTTAGATTTTTTTTTTAAATAAGTTGATAAAAATGACAAATTACAGGAAGAAAAAAATAAAACATGGAAATTTCCCATCCTATCTATTGCTTAATACAATACTCTCATGATGCTTAATTACCAATAATTCTGAATAAAATACCTAGAAGGAAAGAAGATAAAGAGGAAAATATTCATGATAAATTATTCTTCATTTTAAGGTAGATACAAAAAAGTGACTTCAGCAAAGAGACAAAGATAGCATATTTTAACTACTAAAAACAGATTTTCCTTCAAATCTTTGTCTTAGTATTTCATTATGAAAGAGTTTCAAAGATGTTTCTCTATTAGTTATGTAGCTACTTATTATGATGATTCAAGTCAAGTCACAGCAAGCCTCTATATCTTTTAAGAATGTTTTAAAACTTTACAATTTAAATTAATAGTTTGAATTCAACAGTCATTATCAGATAAAAGCTCATTAGTAAGTATGCTTTGTTTAATGTTTTATGAGCATTTCTAAGTAATTGCTAGTTATTGGCATTTCAAATGCTCTATATTAAGATAGCTATCTTTGAAACCTATTTATTTTCATTTTCAATTATTCAATCACAATAATTATAGCTCTATCGTTTATTTTGCAATGAACAAATTCCCATCAGAAACAGACTTCTTTTATCAGTGGGAAATTACTTAATTGTTTTTAAAGAACGTGGTGACAAATTCTATTCATTGTTCATTCCAAATAGCACACTATTAGTCATTATCTGGAAAATGAATGTTCGCCAAAATTTTCAGTACCAATTAACATCCAAATTAAACTATTTCTTCAAGGCAATAAAACATTTCACAACAATACATTAAAACTGGTTAAGTTTCATTAATGCTATTTTAATATTAAAAACTGTTTATTTATATTTGACATTGTTGTTAGGATAGTTCTTCTAGTGACTTGTCATTTGTACCTCATTCCCAATATGCAAAATGTAACTCATTTGAAAAAAGAATAGCATTGAAGGTAATAAGGGAGATCAGCTCTCATAGCATCTGGCAGCAGTGTAATTAAAGTTCTGTCAACAGAGCTATTATAAGTCTGTTTTAAAAGGATTTGAAATCAGCATTAGTGAAGTTAGAAGTTTCATGTAAGAACTGCTAGTTAATAACATGCCAATAAAA